GAACGAATTAGCCCGACAGGCGAGGAAGCTGCGATCCAGGGTGGTCTTGAATCTGGGCGCGATACTGATTACGCCAGGGTTCGGCAGCGTCGACCGCGCGCAGCGCCTGAAACAGGTTGGCAGGCTGCACGTCGCAGCCGAATCCCGGGTACCACACGGAAGTCTCCTTACGCCGAGGAAAATGCAAAAAGTACGGGTCCAGGAAAATGTCGAGGTCACATACTCCAGCCTCGAGACAACGCAACACGTACGGCAAGAATTTTTTCCACGCAGCCCCTAGCCGAGAGCGCCGCTGCTTGCGACCTTGATATAGAGTAGCGAAATAAGCCACGGCAGCCTTCAAACTCTCGGGAATGGGGAAGGCGTGGGTAGCCTCCCACAAGGCCTGCAGATGCTTAGCCTTCAACTCAGCCCACCGGTATGACATAACCCGAAGAGGCGCGTCCGGAGGACCGTCGATCACGAAGGAAACCGGCTGCACCGTAACTGCCAACACACGCCACGGCACCGAAGCATAAACGGCGGAGACGTTGCCTTCGTCGATCAGTCCCTCACTCCAGTCGTGAGGATCAGGAGGACCCCCCTGCGGAGGAAAGACCCAGGAAGGAGGCTTCGAGAACCGTTGGAACAGCAGATCGACGGTCAGCTCCGACACACTCGTCTTGGCGACCTGAGAGACAGGCCAAGGTTCCACGTGAGCCACAGCGAGAGTCACGCGGACGCGGTAGCCTGGAATCCAGAGCGCTCGATCCACGCGGGTAGCGGGCAATGCTGAGAACGCCTGCGAGGAGAGCAGAGAACCACGTGGGGCGGTCGAAGACACACCCCGGGTGCTGGGCCCCGAAGTAGCTCGACGCGCAGACGAAGCGAGGCTGTCATTGCCGGACGGCAGATCGCCAGTCTCCGCGTTCGGTCCACCCTGGCTCGACGACGAGGCAGCGTCACCGGATCCGCGTCTGCAAGATTCCCCACTACCACCATCAGAGGCCGCATCAGACTGAGCGCCGCGGCCAGAAACGCGGCCCGCTAGGTCGCCTGGGGCGGATCCGGAAGGATCGTCAGAGTCTCCATCGCCGTGATCCCCTGGACTGGGCTCACAGGCGTCGGCCTGGGGGACGTCGTCGTCGTGGTCAGAGTCCTCATCGCTGGAGCTGTCGCTGCTGGGAGAGGTGCCAACCTC